TTGCCACCGATTTACATAATAGATTTGTATTCTTTTGACCATAGATATGTTTTGTTTTAACCATAGACTAACTTATATAGGTTAACCTAATTATACCGATTTGGCTAAACCAAACGGCACGTCTCTTCATATAGTTCATTTGATTGAGAGAAAATGTAGTTTTTGTCGATTTGATATGGAGAAGTTACCATGTGTGTATACACTTGCTGCAGTGTAAGAAATGCCGCATCTCATTGTGTCATCGTTATTATCTCAACAACTACTTGTGCAACGCATATTCTACTTCTATAATGCCACGTGATGCTGCTTCGCCTGTTTTAGATCACGTCACCATGAAGGTGTGTTTGCCTTCATGATTTTCTTGTTTAGATAAAATCTAGCACCTCTATACAAGCGTTTATTATGTATATTGTTGTTAAGCAAGCAAAGATTTTNGATTCATAGAGATTTTTGCTGGGTTTTTCTTGCTTATTTTANTCTTCTTNTGACATAAATGATGTTGTTATTTTGATGTGTTGTAGGTAGGTGAATGATGTTGATTACCAAGGAGGATTNGAACGAGACGATTTAAACCAACTATTCGAAGCAATGAGAAGCAATTACAAAGCATGGTGCNTAGGTTTTGCACCACTAGCCGTAGGTGGTGACATGGATTCAGTCGTGGTACAAGAATTCAACAGAACACTATTCAACATGAGTCCAGACATACGTCAACGTTATCTTGCATAATTGGTATTGCTTTTCTTCAAATTATTCTTTGACTCTTTCAAGATACGTGTGTTTTTGGTGTGTGTAATAAAATGCTTGATTGCAAAAAGTAAATGTATAAAGAATACTACTCCAATTAACAAAGCTTCCGAAAAAGCTATATAATCACAAAGATTCTTCGTCAACTGTAAGTTTGATCAGTAGTTGAATCATATATTTGCCATAGAACAATGCTACCTACAGAGACGAAACAGAGATTACAGAGACGAATAAGAGAATTTGCAGTGGTTCTTGCCGGAATCTGGAGGATCGGGTCACCGACCAAAATAGTGATGAAGAACAGGATGTGCATTCAATAGACCAGCATAGTACGGATAGGAACCTCTGGTATCGGAAAAACGTAAGAAGATGACCTGCGATTGTTGGCCGTCGTGGCTTTGCTGCAGTTGCAGCGGAGGTAGCCGTCAC